TGCAGATCAGATAAAGAGCTTCACAGACAAGAAAAAGCTAGAGTTCATCACTACCAAACCAGTATTATATGAAATGCTGAAAGTATTCTGAAATGCTGAAAGTATTCTTTAAGAAGAGGAAGAAGAAAAAGGTAAAGATAAAAAATATGAACAACAAAGTGGCAACAAATACATATGTCAACAACTGAATCTAAAAATCAAATGAATAAAATCTGATATACAGAATAAACTGGTGAATGGAATAGAATTAGGGGCAAGGAAATGGAACACACTGATGATTCTCAGAGGGAAGGAGGTGTGGGGGTGTGTGGGAAGAGATTATACAAAGATCTTATATGCATGTATGCATTACCTATGGACACAGACAATAGAGTGGTGAGGGCCAGGGGTGGGGTGGAAACTGGATGGAAGGGAGCAAGGGGGGGGTGGGGGAGCGAGGTACATCTGTAATAATCTCAACAATAAAGATGATTAATTTAAATTTTAAAAATGAAACAAGCTCAGTTGGTTAGAGCGCTGTGCCAATGTACCAAGGTTGCAGGTTCAATCCCGGGTCAGGGCACATACCAGATCAACCAATGAATGCACAACTAAGTAGAACCACAAATCAACATATCTCTCTCTCCCCCCCCTAAAAAAGTGAATCAATAAAAAAATGAAACAAAGTTTTATTTTTTTATTTTAATATATTTTTTACAGAGAGGAAGGGAGTGGGATAGAGAGAGAGAGAAACAATGATCAGCTGCCTCCTGCAAACCCCCCGTTGGGATGTGCCTGCAACCAGTACATGCCCTTGACCGGCATTGAACCCGGGACCATTCAGTCTGCAGGCCAACACTATCCACTGAGCCAAACCAGTTAGGGCCAAAGTGTTATTTCTTAAGTGTAGAAAACATAGAGGGGCCTCAGTTTTGGAGGAGTAGCTGTTCCTTTTTAGGATGCAAAAACAGGTGTATTCTTTAGGCCTTTTTGGGAAGAGGAGAGAGAACTGGCCCTCTATTTTCTCATCTAAAATCCTGAGCATGCTGTATTCTTTTTTAAGTAGGCTTGTTTATTTGAGAAGTTACCCTCTTTATTTTCATTACTTTCTCAGATACTTTGAGATTATCAAGTTCTCTGGATTCTTTGCTAGCTCATATCTATAAATTTTGGTAAATTTATAATCATTTCATATGCCAATAACCACATTTCTTAGAAAGGTTTACTTAGTGTTTAAATATTCAGGAGGGAATTCTAAAATACAGTGGGGCCTTGACTTACGAGTGTCCCGATTAACGAGTTTTTTGAGATACCAGCTGTCTCTCGGCCGATTTTTTGCATTGAGTTGACAGAGTAATTTGAGTTAATGAGCTCCTTAACGAGCTCCTTAACGAGCTCGGTCTCGGGACGAATTAAACTCGTAAGTCAAGGCCCCACTGTATAAATTATATTTTGAAGTAAATTACTTGATTGCTTAATATTCTTTATTTGTTGATGTTAATAACAAGTAACGTTTACATTTGTTTTTCTTCCAGACAATAAACACTAAGAAGGAACCATTTCTGTCCAACTACTTACTAAGTTATTTAGTCTGAAAGTCTGTCTTAAAATTTGAAATTTATCTTACATGTTGTCTTTCTTAGATCCATTAAAATAAGACATTGCTTTTTAATCTGGCCTCATACACAATAATCACTTATTCCCACACATGACTGCAGTAATTGTAATTTAATACAGCAACACGGTAAACACACAATAATATATGGTAGAGGCTGAGAATGTAATGTTGACATGACCAAGAAAGCAGTCAGCATTATTCAACTTCTATTTTGCTTTTATGTTTTTCATCAAGGAGAAAGTGCAACATAATGGAATATGTAGAACAAAAACATAACTGAAAAAGCTAAAGTCCGAGATAGTGAGGGAGACATATCAGTCAGCTGGGTACTTCTTACTGAGATCAGTCTCTACGCTCAGATAAATTATATTTGCAAAAGCACTTGATTTGTAATTGCAAGAGAGTGTCAGAGGGAACGAAATGAACACACCCTAT